ATTCTACAAAAGGTATTTTTTAAATTACTAAATATATACTTTATCTTAAAGTGCAAAATCGTTGAAGTTAAAGGCCCCGGGGACGACTTTTCGGGAAAGCAATCCCTATGGTTGGAATATCTCGAAAAAGTCGGCCTCAATACCGAAGTATGTTTAGTGCAAGGTAAATGTTGTCAGTTTTATGCTCGTACGACGTTAGACAATTACAATTCCTCCAAAGCTTCTGTTACAGTAACAGTACAGGGGCCTTGGAAATGATACCTTTAAAAATGCGTGTAAAATTGTTATTCTGTTATAGATAAACGTAATGCATAACAATATAGAGAAGAAGTAGAAGAGTTTGGTGATTGTGAATAAGTATTGTGCATGCAATTTTGTACTTATTATGAGTGGGAGTGGTTTAAATATGACATTGATTTGTCATTTTCAAATACTTCACAATAATATTTTATATATTTTTACATGCACCGTTTTACTATTTAGGTTATAAAGCATATGAGATAATTTTGTCCTTTACTTACTCGAAATGTCTCGTAGCAGGAGTGGCTTCTAAGTTAAATTCAGCAACAGGTATGCCGCGTTGTGCTACTTGAGGTGCAAACATTGCCGCGGGATATACAATAGATGATGTACCAATGACCAGGCAAATGTCACAATTTTCGACAGCTTTAACTAGTGTTTTAAGAGGGAATTAAACATGTTTTTATTTTCAAAGATAGAGGCTTACAGAGATTTGAGCCTTAACAACAATAGCTATTTTTATTTTATTGTAAAAATCTTAAATTTTTATCCAAATGTTATAATGTATTGTTATATAAAATATTGTTAAAATAATAATTGTATGTCATTTATTTGCATGCGCAAAAGGGTACCTACAGGCTTGCTTCAGTACATGTTCATTTAAATTTTCACCGAACCACACAATGTGCGGCCGTAACAATCCTTTACAATTTTCTTTTTGACATCGAGGTAAATCTTCTCTTGCAATATCAGAAATCATAATACTTGGATCTGGAGATCTATGTAGATTTACATTAATAGTATTCATAAAATAACTTAAATAAAAGCTTTAAGAAACTACATTTTACCCCTTTCCTTCCAATGCTGGGCATATTGGAATATTTTTGTTTATAGCAACCTCATGACAAACTATACAACGAGTTTTATAAAGTGAACCGTGAAGCTCTACTACATCTTTTGCTCCAGCTCTTTGATGAAGTTCATCAATGTTTTGTGTGACAATAGTAACATTTTTACCTTCGTTCAATCTACGATTTTGAAAATTTGCTATTGCTTTGTGAGCCTAGAAACTACAATTACAGTACAAGTATATTTTAAATAAAATGTAATGATCAGGGATTAAAACTACAATTGTGAAAGTACCTTGTTGGGTTTAGCTTCATTTGCTACTCTTCTACGATATTCGTAAAATTCCCATACTAAAGAAGGATTTGCTTCGAATGCTTCTGGAGTTGCAAGATTTTGAGCTTGATATTTTCTCCAAAAGCCACCGGCACCTCTGAACGTAGGAATACCAGATTCCGCAGAAACTCCGCTGCCAGTTAATATCAACACATTCTTTGCATTTGATAGTACTTCACGAAATGATTTCATAGCATTCATGGTTCACGAAAGTACTCTTTTTTAAGGTTATTTCACTTGCAACTCGTATATCAGCTGATTTGTATGCAATCAATGATGTGACGTCAAGTTTCAGGTTTTTTTTAATTCATCGATTTAAAAGTGTATAAATTTACAAATTTAACGTATTTTCCTAATAAATCAATTTGCGAAAAGAGTATAAAAATTTCCATGATGAAATTATAAATACTTTTTGACGGTGGTTTTTGAAGTTACAATTCAGTAAACATTTTGAAGTGGACATGTTTCTGAGAAACTTTTTTAAAAGAAAACCCAAAGTACATGTATTTTTAATACCCATTTCTGTTCTGCACAATTATGTGTAATAATTTTTAATCGATGTAGTAATATTTTAGACAACGGCACATAAACTTGTGAACAATTCTTTTGGAAATTATGAGGTTATTGAACCATGGGAAGTTTCTGAAATTAGAGGAGTACCACCATATATCCCTAAACCTTCTTACAGTCAAACTATGACACCTCGAGACGGACCAAAGAAACCAGAAGTTAAAGATAAAAATCAAATACAGAGTATGAGAGATAGTTGTAGTTTTGCTAAACGAATATTAACTCATATTGAACAATATATAAAGGTACATAGCAAGTAATGAACAGTATAAAATGTAATCAGCAATTTAAGTTAATTAATAGATTTTGTTTTAGCCTGGCATGACCACAGATGAATTAGATGCAACAGTTCATGAAATGATTATAAGTAATGGAGCTTATCCTAGCCCACTTAATTATAAAGGATTTCCAAAGTCAATATGCACTAGTATCAATAATGTTGCATGTCATGGAATTCCAGATAAAAGACCTTTATTAAAAGGAGATATACTTAATGTTGATGTAACAGTAAGTCCATGTACATATGTTAGAAATGCAAAAATATGTAAAATCTAAAAGTAAAAATTAATTTTTTGTATTTAGGTATATTTACATGGGTATCATGGAGATTGTTCAAAAATGTTTGAAGTAGAAGAATGTGATGATGAAGCCAAACGATTGATAAGTGTAACAAAATTGTGCTTAAAAAAAGCTATTGATATTTGTAAACCTAATGAGAATTTTTCTAGTATAGGTAATTATTATAATGATAGATATACATATAATGCAACATTTTTATATTTTTTTTTTAATTTTCAGGAAATATTATTGAAGAAACAGCATGTAAACATGGATATTCTATAGTTCCAATATTTGCAGGACATGGCATAGGTACATACTTTCATGGACCACCAGATATTTTTCACTTTGGTATGTTAATATCTTAATGTCACAGGTAAACATATTAAAGAAATTCAACATTATGTTTTCCTATTACTAGCAAATAACTTTGATGGAAAAATGCTGCCTGGGATGACATTTACCATTGAACCAGTTTTAAGTCAAGGTAATGAAGAAGTTAAAATTTTAGAAGATGGATGGACAGCTGTTACAGTAGATAATGCACGAACTGCTCAATATGAACATACTATTTTGATCACCGATTCTAGCTGTGATGTACTGACACGTTAACCATATAAAATTATATTTGTACATACATTTTTCTCGGATTTGAATCTCATAACCATCGTAAATCGTCACGCCCTATTCTTTGTAATAAATTATGAAGGGGTGTACAATAGAACTCATTTTAACAGAATTACGTTGTAAATATTTTTATTATTATAGAAAATTTATTTATGTTCATCTTTACATAATAGCAGGTTCCCAATAGCTATCTAAAGTCAATGGTCCTTGTAACTCAGTGCCTCCCTCTTTTGTCATTATACCAAGCTGATACTAGAATTAAATTTAATTTATAGTACAACATAAGGTTTATAAATATGATGTAACTTACTTTTGGAAAAGATCGTGCATCTCTGTAGAAAAGAACTTGCATTACTTTGTATAAAAGCTCAATTGCTTGTTCTTTATTCATTTCTTTATTTTCTTCATAAGCTTTTCTTAAAATAGGTGTTGCCATGTATGCACCATATCCAGTTGCAATTACTGGATCACTATAAGCTGTACCAAGTTTATCCACAGTACCTAAAAATCTGTATGGAATATTTAAAATACTCTGTACACAAGCAAAAATAGGAAAAAAGTAAAGTACTCACGGTTTATCTCCCTCTATACCACCAATAATGAAATTATTCCAGAGTGGATCAAAGTGTGACCTCCTATTGTACATTATTCGAGTTAACCAGCAGTGAAGAGCTTTTGGTTTCAAAGATAAACCATCATCCAAACATTCTTCTTCAAGACTGAAAAATGCATAAAAAATAGTTACTAAAAACCACATAAAATAACTATGAAATGATAACTAAAACTCACATTTTTCTTTCAATGTGGCTTTTAAGAAACTGATAATCAGCATAATCCCCTCCTGCACCAAGGATAATATTATCATTGACTTTCATTATACGTTCAACATTTCTGAATCTAGCTAATGATCCAAATGAACCAAGAATGTCTGCTGCTATAAGAACACCATCTTTAAATTGAATTCCAACTACGGATGTTCCAGTTGTCATTGGTGCCCTGAAAGAATATGAAGCACAATATTTTTGGAAAGGCTAGAATTACATTAAACAATTTTGCGTATAAACATAATTTAGAACGAATACATTTGTACCAAATCATTGTTTCATTAAGATGTTTAAACGCGAAAGTTTTATTTATTTATATATATTTTATAACCTACGTGAAAAGTAACATGACGTGCAACTTTTTAAAGAATTGTCTAAACCAAACGAATAAGTAATAAGAAATTTTTACTGTGATCTTTGAAATCCGCCGACATCGGAATGCGTGGAACCTCCGGGAAAATTATAAAATGCACCAGGTGCTGGACCATTTTGCCAAAACGAAGCAGGAGTATGCCAATCAGCTTTATTAATGAGCGCCATGTTTCTCACAAATTTGAAACCGTTTGAAATGTCATCCAGTTGAAGTCCGAACATTTAACAGGTTTGCACCTTTAAGAAAGTCCCTACAATCTTCGTCTAGATATATTTAATTTCCCTCTAAAATTAATTTCTCGATTTATCTCGATAGCACAATCGAATGACCATTTTGAATATTGTCGGTGTTAAATATCGGTTTGAATTTCTGTAACTACAGAAGTTTAATGTATCTAGTAATGGCACGAATATATTGGCAATTAGTAATTTATTTAATATAATTACACCGGCATTGTGAAACGACTGCATCATTTATTCGTCACAAACTTGTAGTTGCAGATAGCAAGAAATTTAAGAAAAATTAGTACAAGGTATCCTGTTATATGTACATCAGACAAAATTATGTTAAAGGTCATAAGACGTTGAATACGTCCCTTGAGAAAAAAATACTTTTGGAACGGGTTTAACTTTAAGTACATTCCACTCGTTTGTAGCTCAAATAGAAAATTTCTTTATTTCTACCTTATATACATGGATAATGTAAATTTTAATAATATGCAAGCACTATTAACATTATGATAATTCATAATTCGTTACGCATATTATTACACAAATCAGAATGAGAAGGCAGTTTTAGTTTCACAGCAACATTTTTAAACTAACGAATAAAAAAGTACAAATCAGTTCTTGGAGTGTATCCAATTTTCACGGTATTTATACTACTTTCTTTTCATCCGACGCGAACTTTTCAAACATAATGTGCAAACAGTGCCAATGTTATTAAGGCAAAACTGTAAGAATATTTTTCAGCGGAAGAATTGTTGTTGTTGTTGTTGTTGTTGTTGTTGTTGTCGTTGTTGTTGTTGTCGTCGTTGTCGTCTGTACTACTTGAACTTGTCAGAACAACATTGATCGATTTCATTAATGGAAAAGTGTTATCTTTTACATCTAGAGAGTTCGTCAGTGACGCGCATTTCCCATTGAAATCGTCAGTATCAATGCTCCAACCCATTACACCAGACAGATTCAACTTCATCGCGTACTCGACCTTTAAATTTTGAAGAGACATTAGGGAAAAAACATTCTCGATATGTTTGAACACTACTAATATCTTCGTTCGCAAAATTATTAACCTTTGCTTTTAAACTTTTCGGGTTATCAAACACGATAGCGCGATCACCATTAATTACATAAGGCGTTTGACTGTTATCATCCCATCCAATCTTCCAATTTTCCGGGTGGTCTACTAGTTCTTCACAAATCTACGAACAACATAAAGACCCATGTACTATCAATATCGGATTAAGATAATTCAATTATCAGAATAATTATAAATTGTGGAAATTTTTTGATTCGAAGTGGATAGATACAAATGCAAAACGTACTTCGTTGTATCCCATGAAGCCATTCTGACCAGTGTAAGGGCCCTTAAATCCATCTGTGAGAGTTGCTTGATTAATGGGACTTTCTTCAGACGAATTAAGCTTGTTCTTTAACACAAACGTCCTTCCGTACATAGGCAGACCCAGCACTAGTTTACTCGGCGGTGCACCTTTACGTAACAAATAGTTGAGCGACTCTTCCTAAAAAGAGAACCTTTAATCCTTTACCGTCTGTCCACGTAGAGCGATTTTTATTTATGCTACTTGATATCGCAATGTATTACCACACTGTGACCGTCTTGACTTCTTAATGGTGCGTTCGGAAGCACTTTCTGATCCCATGTACCATGATAGTCGTAAGCCATTACATGAATATGATCGAGATATTTAGAAAGTTCAGGAATATCGTATGCTACGTCGATGGCATCTTTATTCGCGCTTATAGCTGCTGTTAACAAATATTTCGACGGCCTGAACGCTTCTTTCAGTTCCTGTTAGAAAATCCGTACGTTTCGTAACAAACGTGATAAAACGTAGCTTCGGTTGCAAAAATGATTTAATCCACATCGTGTTACTCTTACCTTCACAAGAGAGACAAAGTTTTCTTTGTCCGCGGGTACACCTCCGCGTGATCCAGGATATTCCCAATCTAAGTCAAGCCCGTTGAAATTGTACGTTCTGTGTGAAATAGATATATTTATCATTTCGCAGAAGTATTTGACAAAGCAGATAATTATTCGAGGATTTCATTCTATATACCCGAGAAAATCAACTACGCTGTTAACGAATGTAGTTCTTCGTTCGAGAGACGAGGCGAGTATGGAATAATTTTTGCTGCCTTCGTTCCACCCTCCGATTGCAAGGAGAACTTTCAACTCGGGATACTTTTGACGAAGTTGAGTCATCCTTCTGTAGTTACCGATATCTGGTCGAATGAAATTCTCAATCAACCGGATAATCTTTCAATCGTTTCGGGTAACATAGAATTTTGCACTTACTATTCCTTATATCCAAATCAGGATCGAGGCTTCTAATGGTCCATGTTGTATCGTTCAATCCGGCGAACGTGTATATAAGGTGCGTACAAAGTTCCGGTCGTATATTATCAATGCCAAATTTCCCATTGTTCGGTCTGTAAACGGCCCAGGAAGCAACGTAACAGGTGACAATCTTATTATGCTTAGACCTTAACAGAGCTTTGAAAAGAAAAAAAGAAAATATCATTTTAATCTAAAGTTCATATATCATTTGAAGTTCATCTCTATAAAGTGTTTGTTAGTCTTTTTGTTTTATTAAAGAAATTGCGCGGATATGGAATCCCGATAAGATTCCAACATAGAAAAGTTTGTTTTTCAATTGCTTTTCCAATAACCAATTCAATACCTGCTAATTAATGAGACAATCCGTTGTTAATCTATTACGGATAGTAACTGCAAAGTTACCTTTATTTCTTCTTTAGATATTCACATTTCCTCGAAGAACAAAGTTAAACGAAGGTCTCGTGGAAATGTCAGATTTGCATTGCATAAGTTAGCGAAGAAAATGTCAAATACATTTCAAACTTTCTTTTCTGATACATAGTGTGTCATTAAAGAACGTAGGAAGTATTCTGCAACCGAATCGCTAACGGAGCTGTAATTTCTTTTTTAAATAGGAAATTTACCTTCGAAACTTTACGAAAGCAATTCATTTCGAGAATTAAATATAAATATCACTGTAATTAATACTGTAGTGTGTAACTTTTCACGTTCATCTTTTTTTTCAAGTTAGCGAAATATTATTGCACGCGTATGTACGATAGATTTTGTAAAAAGAAAAAAAAAAGAAAGTATCCCGTAAAACTAATGTTTGAAATTGTACGCTAGACGCTATCGTGTTTGCATAGAGTCAATGATTCCGATTGAATATGTATGTACTCACCTAGAGTGTCATTGTCCTAGTGCAGAGACAGCTTTCACTCGGCTTGAGTCAACAGTACGGTACTTTATCCTCGAGGAAAAGAGAACAGTGCTTGTTGCTTGAAAGAGGATGGAACTAAAACCTGTTGCTGACAATTCCCACTAACAGACGTGTGTTGTGTGTAAATACATATACATATGTACCAGGTGTTCAGCTAAATATTTCGTGATAAGTAAATACCCAAACTTTATCAATAGAAAATAAAATTTTTTTAATCGTACAATGTTTCTTAATATAATTCTTTTACCTAAAGTGTAATAAATTTTACTCTAGCTTATATTAAAATATCGATAAGGCAATATGTTAAGAAAAACAGGAAATTAAGTTGTACTTTTTGAGATTTTTCTTTATCGTGATATTATTTGTACATGTGTATAGATTATTTTTACTTCCGCATTGTATCTTCCTACAATCATAAATACAATTGTGCAATACAGGAGTAGTCTGGTTGAAGGGTTTGATAAGGTGAATTTTTAATGAAACGTAATACTATATCTCCAATTGCTAATAATTTTATTTTTATTTTTTATATCGTTATTCTATACTTTATCAGATGGATTTTTTTAAGTTTATAGGATTTAACTCTTTTTTGGTATTCAGTTTTAGTTAAAATTGTATCGTGTAAATTCATCGTAAAACTGTAGTTAAAAATGGCTACGTCCATGGTTCGAGATAGGTTAAAATGTTTGTGTTGACTTATTAATTTTTATATAGTATTTGTACAATGCCGCTTATAATTATTACCGGTATACCATGTAGTGGTAAAACAACGCGGACTTCTGAATTGAAAGAATACTTTATAAATAGGGCAGGAAAAAATGTTAAAATTATAAATGAAATCGACGTTGTGACTAAAGCAGGTTTTGACAAAAACGCATTTTACGCTGGTTAGATTTCATTTAAATTTTATATTCTTATTTAGCGTATGTACGTTATATTATTGTGGTAATAAATTGAGCTTTATTCTCGTTTCACTGCTTACTATAGATTCTAAGAAAGAGAAAAGTGTAAGAAGCGACATAAAGTCAGCAGTGCAGCGGCTGTTAAGTACAAATGATGTATTAATAATTGATGGTAGTAATTATATTAAAGGCTATCGTTATGAGATCTATTGTATGACAAAATTGTATAAAACTCCTCAGTGTA